TGCTACTAACGTTAAACCCCTTTCCTATTCAATTAAACACATTCAATGTTTATTTATTGTAAAAGCAATTGGGCTATTTTAATAACTCTCACACACACACACGCACGCACGCACGCACGCACGAACGCACGAACGCACACGCCTCATTCTGTTTTCATTTACTCGTTCGTTATCTGACCGGCTTCAATCTTGTAGGCTACTCACCTCGTTTCTTGTAGCCCTCGAAAGGGTTTTGGAGGTTGATGCCTCGGTGAACGTGCGTTGTTTGGCTTTCTTGTCCGCAGCAGCAGAAAGCATTTTCGAATGTTTGAATGAATCAAAGTGGGTCGTCACCGTCGATTTTCTCTTAGGCTCCAACACACAGTTGCACGGGGTGCAGAATAGTTTCCCCCCAATTTTTGCCCGGTCTTTAGTAGAAATGTTCGTCGGTAAATTAGATGGATTAGATTTTTTCATCTTGGTGTTTTAGTGTGAGCTCCACACGTTCACTCTATACAGTGTTGTTTACATTCTGTGATGCATGACCTGATGACGTCATGTCAAGACGAGTTAACTTTTTTTTTTCTCAACTTTGTGTGGAAAAATGCGGGGATTATGCAGCCTTTTGATAAATATGCGGCCTTTTAAAAATCTTCGCCATTTTGCTGATTATGCGGTAGATTCTGCGATTGCAGAATCGCGTTTTTCTGGAGGGTCTAAAAAGGGAGTGCCAGTGTAGTTTGTGTTGGGCTGCTCAGGCGACAGGTTGAGAGGTTAAACATAATCAACATTGTCTGTCTTAATATCTAATTAAGGAAACAGCGAAGAAACAGGCAGCAGTCAAGTTCAGAAACTCGCACAAGCAGACAGAAGATGAGAGGAGAAGGATAACAGCTGAGGGGTGGGGGCTGTTACAATTCAACAGCTTAGCAGAGAGTGGTGAGAGACAGAGAGGAAGAGCGGGAGAGAAAGGAAGAGGCAGATGGACATATTGGAGAGATGTGGCGAGCGTATGACACATACTTGGCCTCGTCGACCACTTCCACCTCTGCCTGAGCTGTGATGGGAGCGTTGGAATGAACCGTCAGGGGATCGTCTGCATTCAGCTCCCCGTTGGTCGAGCTGACCACCTGTGGCACAGACGCGTGTTACTTCAAAAACACTAAATGATGTTCAGGCCAGAACCAACTAAGAACTCGTCCAGCTGTGATGGAGACTTCCTCTGGTTAAACACTACATCTAATGTTACTTTACCAAATCACTTTTATTGTTTATTATTCTGTTTTTCAAAATTCACTTTCCAGTCTGTATGCCAGTATAGAGGAAAACTGTAAAAGTATAAACCCTTTGCAAAATCAAAAATACATGGATGAAAGATATGACACCAAACTGCCACTAGCAGACAAACTACAGTATGCAAAGCCATTTGTGGTTTCACCTGTAGAAGAAATGCATAATAATTATTTCAAAAATGTGTGTCTTTTGAGCATAGGTGTGCTCAGTGTACGCCTTTGAGATTCTCAGCTATTTGAAACCATTTAATTCCATTCATGATGCAAGAAATGTACAAAAATCTTCTGCTGAAGGAAGGACATTAAATTAGTGAATTTCATTTAGCAGAAAAGCCAGACATCTACTGTAGCCTGCACTGTACACACCTATGCAGACTTGTTGAAGACAGTCTTTGGTAATGGCTATAAGGCAAAATAACACCAGAATGTTCCTTAATGTTCAATGACCCTCTTCAACTAAAGAGCATGCACTAAGCGGGCTGAGCCGGGTCACCCTGCCATGCAAAAGAGGGCTTCTTGATCTGCAAGGAATGTCCAAGCGCGATGACCTGAGATCAACATGCCACTACCAGGCCTGCTGTTCAAAAAGCTTCATCACATTTTCACCATCTGGGGTGGGTGGCACCAGATGACATGCATATGGTGGAGCAGAAAAAAATAACATTTCCCAGCCAGGGCTAAAGGGGGAGAGGAGGGGGGAGTTTATGGTTGTAGATCTGTCTCACATGCCAGGATAAAATACAAAATAAACATTGTGTCCTGTTATTAACTGTTGCTTGTTAATCAGATGTGGTCAAAGTAATTAGAAATACCTAATTTCAATCGCTCTTATGGGATCGAGTCAACAGGGCAAGTCTATTTATCCTGTATGACCTGGAGAGTATGTCTGAATGTCAGTCATTAACTGAAATCTGCCATAATAATGCAGAATCACTTTTTGTAAATGTTTCGGTAAACTTAAAAATAACTTTTTCATATTTTCTCAAACTGTCACTATATCCTGACAGTATGGCGCTAGAGAGATAATGTGTGCAAATGTTTTATATTTCTCTCTTTCCCCCCATTAATACGAACGGTATTTGCCATTCCGCAGCTCAAAAGGCTCTGACAAAGTAGCACACAACTATGAACCTAAACAGCGCGGATCAAATACAGAACAAGATACTACATTTCTTGTCTGAAGTGCTTTCATATTTTAACTAAAGATTAAACTTTTTTAACGAGCTTTTTGAGCTGGCTGCCATGATATAAACAATTGAGCCGAAACCAATCACCGTCCACTGGAGCTTTGTTTAATCAAATGAGGTTCAATATGATTGACACAGCGTAACAGACTCCTCGGCTCAGATTGGTTAATTTACCAGATGATTGTTCTCATACACTACAATCAGGATAAAGTAACAGTTTCAGGATATAGTAACAGATTCTTTTTTTTTTACACAAGTCACCATCTTCAGCGTTGAAAAGGTTCAACACATATATAAGTGGTGTAGCGAAGTGCTGCTAGGACTTTGACTTATTTATTTTAGATTAGATTCTATGAGACAGATCTGACTCCACAGAGATCGGGTGGGGGGTGTGGTTGATCAGGTGAGGGGTGTATACCTGCACTGAGCCCCCGTGCCTGTCCGCTGCCAGGTGGGAGGTCAGGTAGGAGGAGTTTGCTTGGCGTGTGGGCTGCACCTCCCATGCTCCTCGTCGGTCTGAGGCTGCTGTCTGCTCAGGGGCGTCGGTGATGTGGGGGGGAGTGGCATTGGGAGTGCGATGGTAGAGGGTGGGGGTGGTGATGGAATAATTGCGTTAGGAAAGAGGGATATTTGGGTGTGCGAGGTCAGGTACCATGCAAAGCAGCATGAGAAATGGAGAACAAAAAATGTAACAAAATAAAAGTGAATAAAACTCAAAGCAACGCTTCAGCCAAAGAATTGAACCAGAAACTAATGAGCTCAAAGCCAAGCGAGGGTAAGCTCTTAAACTTAAGCCTATATCCTTTTATTTGGAATTTAAACTAAACCTATATTATCATTTATTTTATGAGAAAAGTTGTTTGACGAGTTGTCTTTGTACAAGCTATTAACAGTAGGAATCAAATACACACATTCGTGTTTATACATGTGCAAAGGGGAACTGCAGTCCCTTAGAAATGCTGTAATTATTGCAATGATATATATCTAAAAAAAGAAATGCTTCACACTCATACAGTATTACATTCTTTACGTGCTTTACAACTCATATACTTTAATTTTATTTAGTGATAACGATAACTTCCTGATAACGGCGGAATCCTGAGTATAGAAGCTTATGCGTTACAGTTCCCTTAATCGCAGGTTAGATTAAAGGTCACCCTGAAACCTGACATCTTTTCAATAGGGGGATATGTATGGTTCATTCATACATGTATACAAGATGTGATTGAACCCTTGATTTCACTCCATAAAAAGACCAAAAGGAGGGTGTACCTGGTTTCTAATGGGTGGGTGCTGTGTGGGCCGGTCTCTGTGAGGATGGGTCTCTCTCGTCACAGCAGAGGCTGCCGAGTCTATGTGGGAAGACCCCACTGGTGTGGGCTGAGGGGAAATAACACCAGTTAAATCCTGTTCCTTTTAGCTTGGTAAAAAAAATGGTTTGTCCAAATTAAAACGTGTCTGTTGTTTATGTGCGTGACTTACTATGTGCCTGCCAACCCAGTCGTACGTGTAATCAAAGGTGTATCCCTTCCTCTCAAACAGTTCGGTGAACAGAGTCCGCAGATATTCATAGTCCGGCTTTTCAAAGAAGTCCAACCGTCTCACATATCGCAGGTAGGTGGCCATCTCCTCTGAATTAAAAAATAGAAGAATGGTTTCACCTTTTATATGGATATTAAAATCCTAATAGTGAGATGACATTTACATTTATTTTATCTGGAAACGTCCAGTCGTAAAAGGTTAAATCAGAGGCTATGCGATCATTTTCAAGCTTTTCAGCATGATCCATAAGTAAATCACATCCATCGTCAGTGTACCTGGGAAGTTCTCACAGAGGACCTCGATGGGAGTGTTTCGTTTGGTGTCTCCAATCTTCTGGTATCGCTCTTTCAATGTGTCTGCCTGCAGCGCAATCAAAACAAGAAGACATTTGAACAAATTCTGATGTCTGACGAGCACTAATCAGAATGATATGACAATTCCTAATATAGACTGCTTAAAATACATCTTAAATCATTACTGTACAGATTAGTGGATTACACAAAGGGACAATTTGTTTATTTCCAATTCATACTATCACTTCTTATTTCTCTTTAGTTGCAGCAAAAACACTAATTTTATTTTTATATATTTACATTGTCTCACATGTAAACTCGATTGGGACTAACACAAACTGCCTGAAAGCTGATTCTAAAATTGTTCATAACCAACTTCAATTAAAACAACATTGGTGCTCTGAAGGTTGCAGACCAGATCAGTTCAGCTCTCAGATGTGTGCATGCTTTTCTAAAAAGGATAATACTGATTTTGAAACACTTCCATGTACTTGGCATACCTTCAGTCCTTGCCATGGTAGGCTCCCACGAAGGAAATACATGAACATGTGGCCTAAGGCCTCCAGGTCATCTCGCCGGCTTTGCTCTATATCAATAGATTTGATAACATTTCACTGAGAAACTTCAAGAAATAACCACAAACCACATTGCATAATAAACATGTTAGACAACTACAGAATTAAAACAAAGCTAGTCTTACCTTTGCCTAAATGTGTATTGATAGACATATATCGGGCAGTGCCAGTCAGGCTCTTATGTTCCCTGTATGGAATGTGTTTTTTGGTCTCGGGGTCGATGTACTCTTTGGCCAGACCAAAGTCAATGATGTGGATAATGTTTTCCTTTTTATTCCCTTGCCGTCCGATGAGAAAGTTTTCAGGTTTTACATCTCTATAGATGAGGTTTTTAGAGTGCACATACTCCATTCGAGAAATCTGATGGGAGAGAATACAGCAGTCAGCAAAATCAACATTGACAAAAATCTGATATTATCACAATCCAGAACAAAAAGTCAACAGAGCGGGAGTCAACAGGTCACAATCACTCAAAACTGACATTTCAATGAAAGTCCACTGCTGTGTCAGTGTCAGTCTTATCAAGAACATTGTATTTCTTATCGAATCCATGTCCGCATTATTACACATTAATGGTGCATACCACCAAGTCACTGACGAAGATCAGTTTATTAGTCATTGTTTTAAATGCCTCTGTGGATTTGTCAGGGAGACTAACAATGTATCAGAGAAACATCAACTTTTAAAAAGGCATGAGGGTATTCTCATTATCTCATTCTCATGTTTAAGGAAAAATGCAATTGAGTTGCATTATGGGAAATCCAGAATTCAGTGTTTTACCCATACCCATAAAAACAAAGACATACATTCTTGGTCTGTGCGACATCAAAATAGTGTCTTTCTTCATGAAAGGTATATGGTAATGCCAGAGCAGCCCTTGGAAGACATGCTGAAAGACACAAACCTTATAACCAAACGACCATAGAACATATTATTTTTATGAAATCCCTGACGTTACAAAATTGTGAGCTGGGTCGAATAATGATAATTTATTATGAATGTTTTACAATTAATCAATGAATGCTTTAGTCCATTAAATGTCTCAAAGGTGACAAATCCTCTACAACGTAGTCAATTAATTTATGCTGATTCACCAATGATTAATTGACTCACTGCTTGAGCACTTTGCTGCACAGCTCCAGCAGTGAGCCATTAAAGACCATTATGCAATGGGATCTCATGAGCCGGGCCAGGGCAGTACATCCTTCACCACCCTTCGTCAGATCAAGGTCATCTTCAAACTTGGCATACATTTTGATCTCAACTACAGTTCTGTAAAGTTTCATAACTGCATCTTGCAGGGTTGAGACACCATGAAAACATCTTCCTACAGACAGATATATAAAACACATTACGAAGTACTAAAAGCTTATGTGGTAGTACCCACAACAGAAGGTGTCTCCAGGAGCACATTTTGCCCTGGTGATACACACACAGACTCCTAGGATAAAAACAATACCAGCCTCACTGCCGTGGCTGGTAATTACTATCCCACAACAAAAGCCTCTCTTGATGTGGAGCCAGAATTTCAAGCCACTAGCTGAGATGTGAAACCTTCCTGCTAGGACTTCAAAAGCACAAGGCATCAAGATCAAAACAACGTGTTAGTAGATTAAATCTTAACAAAGCGCTCAGAGCAGTTACCATCCATAAAAAAAGGAAATTGTGTAGGAGAGCGGGCTCACAACACTTAGGCCACGTTTACACAGAGACGAAAACGAACCTTAGTCGATATCAAAAAAGTCTTCCATCCATGCGGAATCGGCTCAAGAAACGTGTCTGTCCACACGAGACCGCTCTACCCGCTGGAGACGCTGTAGTACATATGCCGGGCCTGTAAGTGGTGCTGTACTTCCGCCACAAATTACACCAAAAGCAGCGAAGAAGACCTCCCGAGCATGGTTGCCGTTCTGTTTATTCTCCGCGGTGGATTTAGCAACATGTAGTACATGTAGTTCTCCGTGTCCACTTGTTGCTGATGGTTGTAGTAGAGGAGCTGTAGATTTTGCACTAACATCTGTAGCATGGTCAGTAGCGTCTGGAGCACGAAAGCAACCCTGTGATCCGCCGCCGTTGTTGTTGTTGTTGTTGTTGGTGAAACACATCAGCAATGACGCGGGTGACGCAGGGGTGAGCAGCAGAGGTGGGGAGAGACGGGGCTATGGCTTCATCGTTATCAGGAAATTATCGTATAGGACGTACACACGGAGCCGTTTGGCCCCCCAGAGCGTTTCGTCCGCAGATCTACCCACCATGGGAGCCGTTATCGTTTGAGGGCTCCGTTTTCCGCAGTTCCGTTACGGCCTCGTGTGGACGAACCGTCCATACGATAGAGAACTGTAGCGGATAACGGCCCGTCCTCACAGCAGCTTTGAAATAATCTTGAAAATCTTGGAGGTGGGCGTGTCTGAAAGCTTGGGGATTTTTTGCGAGCAACGCGACCAACAACCAATCACATGAATCTCCCGCCCCGACATACAAAGCAATAGC